TTGGATGTCAGTTATGGTCTCTTTGGGGTATATTCCCAGTAGTGGAATTGCTGGGTCAAATGGTATCTCTATTTGCAACTTTTTGAGAAAGTGCCATACCACCTTCCACAGTGGTTGCACCAGCTCAGCATTTCTTACATTAAAGGAACTGAAGAACAAATTCAAACGTCAAGTTGCAATACATAAGGATGCTTTGGGCAGAATATTAAATGATGCAGGAAGCATTAAAAGAAGATGTAAAGAGTATACAGAGTCATTGTACCAATAGGAATTGGTGGACAGAGAAGAATTTCCTGAAACAATGTATGAGCAAGAACCTATGGTGATGAAGGAAGAAGTTCCAGCTACTCTGAAAGAACTGGCAAAAAAACAAGGCCTCCGGAATTGACGGCATACCAGTCGACATATTTCAACAAACAGATGCTGCCCTGGATATGCTCACCAAGTTGTGTCAAGAAATCTGGAGGACAATCACCTGGCTGGAAGATACCTATATTTGCTCCCATTCCAAAGAAAGGTGATCCAACAGAGTGTGGAAATTATCAAACAATATCATTGATATCACATGCAAGCAAGATTCTGCTGAAGATCGTCCAAAAACGACTGGAGCAACACATCAACAGAACTGCTGAAGTTCAGGCTGGATTTAGTAGGGGCCGTGACACTAGGGATATTATAGCTAATGTCAGATGGATCTTGCTCAAAGTAGAGAGTACCAGAGGAATGTCTATCTGTGTTTCATTGACTATACAAAGGCATTTGACTCTGTGGATCCTAACAAACTGTGGCTGACTCTGAGAAGAATGGAAATCCCAGAACACTTGATTGTGTTTACGCAACACTTACACTTAGACCAGGAGGCAGTCATCAAAACAGAGTAAGGAGACACTGCATGGTTCAAAATTGGGAAGGGTGTCCGTCAAGGATGTGTCCTATATCCATATCTTTTCAATCTATAATCTGCAGAGCCAATTATCCAGGAGGCTGGGCTCTATGAGGAGAAGTGTGGCCTCAGGATTAGAGGTAGACTTATCAACAATCTGCGTTTTGCAGATGACACAACCCTACTTGCTGAAACTGAGGAGGACCTGAAGCGCTTGCTGCAGAAGGTCAAGGATTGCAGCCTGCAATATGGATTGAAGGTCAACATCAAGAATGCAAAGATTCTCACCACTGGGCCAATTGGCAGCATCATGATGGATGGTGAAGAGATTGAGATT